CCCCAAAACCCCAAAACCCCAAAACCCCAAAACCCCAGATTCTCATCCCTAAAATGAAAATTCAGATAATATTCTAAAAAGGCAGAAGATATAAAGTAATACCTCTTTTGATCTAACAATAATAGCAGGGAGGATGAAAAATTCTCTGTTACCAACAGAAATAGCCTTGTGAGAGGCATTGCTATGATCAGACCCTCCATTTATTTGACTATTCTTTCTCACTATTTATCAATAAAATTTCATTACACTTTGAGAAGGAATTTTAAAGAAAAGTGTTGTTTTAAATACCTTTGATACTCTAGACAGCATCACAAAGATTGCCATGTGCAAGTATCTTATTTTTTATTGTTGGTAGTATTAATTAAAATTATTCGGGCTTCTTCATGAATACTTTTCTTGCTCTTTTAATTATCTGAGAGATTGGACGAATCTCATGATCTAAAGCTTGGGTTAGCATGTTAAAATGGCAGAGAATCATACCTGTAATACAAATTTCAGTGGAAGACAACCTTCTCTTGGAATCTTTTGTAGGTTTCCTATTTTTGTTAGAATAATAACTCTCAATAATTATGTAAGCAATTGTTTACTTTTTGCTCTTAGACGATGGACTAGAGGTGAAAGAGTTTCTATAAATGTTATTATGTTGCTTTACTTCAAATCCTTGTTCTTTTCTCTACGCTTTTGATATCCTTTTTGGATATAACTCACTTCTTCATCCTTTTCATCTATACAATGAGGGGTTGTATACCTTTTTCTTCAACTACAGAGACATTTTTAGGTTCTTGAGCATAAAAATACTTAATATTCATGAACTCAGGTGGGAACTGGCTACTAGTATCAGTATTAATACTCTCTAAGTTGTACAATTTCTGTTTGTCCTTTGATAGAGTAGCCATTATATGTTCTAAATGTAGTCCAATAGAAGTAAGTCTTCCCACCAAGTTCTTATCAGTGATATCAACCCCAAGCTTCAGCTGAGTTGAGAGTCTATATATCAGCATTACTCATGAATTTTGGATAACTTTAAGTTTCTCTAGCCTTCTTTTTCTGAACTCCTTTCGTGTATGATCATCTTCATTAATATAATCATCAAAATGGGGGCCTACATAAGCACCTTCCTCTTGAATGCACTTGAGAGTGTGCTCAACTTCAATTTTATTGTACTGGCTGTTAGAATTCGTGGAGAACTTTTTCTTCTCAAGAATTTCAGTTAATCTTTGAAGCCTCTTTTCTTTCTTAGATTTTTCCTCCTCCATCACCTTATTTTTGATACTCCAGATGCACATTGGTATCTTGAAGATACTTATGGTAATCGTTCAGGTCGTGAATGTCCTTTACATTACACTTAGATTGAATCTTAGCGAAGAGGTTTTGATTATTTTCGAAGTTTTTCAATATTTTCTTCAAGTTTTGCTCTATTTTCTTCCTTCCTGATCTGCTTGAGGCCGTTCTTGGCTAAATTAGCATTATAGATTTTCTTCTGTCTCTCTTCTTTATTCTTCTTGGAGACATCTTTTATCTGAGTTTTAAGGGCATCTACTAAAGTGATCTGTTTAAATTCTTTAATGTAGCCTTCAAAAGCATTTGTGAAATGCTTGTTCTCGTCCGTAAACTTCTTCAATATCCGTTCATTTGCTTTGTCAATGTTGTTTTTATCATTCATGATGAGAGCAGTTTCTTTTCTCATGCTTCCAATGGTTTTCTGCATGATCTGAAGATCCTTTTCCTTCTCTTGGACAGGTCGTTTCCTATTGAGCAGGCTTTGCTTTGTTCTATCAAGGATATGGTTGAGGATATCTGCATCCATCTCGAGAACTTCAATTTTGTAAGCAGACTTTTCAACAGCTTTATTTTAAAGTGATCATTCTTCCAATTTCTGGGTTGAACTCGGAATCATGCAAAACCTCAAGCTTGTAAAGCTGGTTTTCAAGTCTATTTTAAATGAGCTCTCTTAAGGATGATTTCAGACTTGATCTTATTTCTTTCGTTGATTTTAGCAACTTTAGAAGTCTGGTCAAATTTGATTTTATCCAGCATTGGAATTTTACTATTGTTTTCTAAAGCATCTTTAACGTATTCATAAATATCATCTCTTGTATTTTTACGAAGATCTATGATTATAAACAAGCAGCGTACCTTTGTTGGTCAGGTCATCCTCAGTAATTGGCTTGGTCTTAGGCTGACAGAGATCCTTAAGTCTTTCCATTGAGAACCTTCTCTTTTTCTTCCGCTTTTGTAGAACCATGGTCTTAGGCCTATCTTCAGCTTGACTCTGATAATATTTTAGACTTGGCAAGGAGCTGTTTCTACTCAGAGACGGCAAAGCAGCAGCCTTCTTAATTCTTTTGAAGGAATTATTTAGGCTGAAATTTGCTTTTATTGTGGATATCAATCTGTGTCATGAAGAAATTTGCACTATCTTGGGTATCCTTAGGCCCATAAATCTCTTGAATAGTCTGATGTCCTTTAGTTTTGTTTCTACTCTTCATCTTAATCTATTTTCTATATAATTATTAATATCTGGGGTTTTGGGGTTTTGGGGTTTTGGGGTTTTGGGG